TACAGCTATGATCGAACAAATCATAGAAAATTAATAAAAGTAACAAATTTAGTTCTGCTAGAGAATATAAATTGTGACCATAATTGTGTTTGTTTAGATAAATCTTACATAGCCCATCTATAACTAATAACTAATTATGTGTTTTGCTTATGTATGACTATACAAGGTAGTCCATGATTTTGTTAAATATGAGTAAATTTGGACTTGAATTGCTAATTACATAAACAGATATGTTTTTAGAATATTGATTAAAACTGTTAGTTAAGCGTTTAAGTTTGTCTGAACTTGTAAAATCAGATAAAAACCCATTTTAACTATCTTTACTTTTAGGTTAATTTTTAGTAATTATTTTAGCTATTTAAATTTGTTCCCTGTGTTTGACCCTAACTTAGTTTATTATACTATAACCCTACTAGGTACACTGCCTATATGTGGAATAGTAGATAAGTAGCTAGGATCACATTATGATTCATATGAGAATTAATGTGATTTACATGTGGATCATATATGATTTAAATGTAAATCACATGTAATTCATATGTGATTCATTTGTGATCACTATAATTATAAAAAAAGAGAATGGAAAAAGAAATAAATACCCAAATACCCAGTCACTTGTATAAGCCTTGATTTCTTCCACATTCTTCGGTCTTCACTCTTCACTCCACCATTACAACATTATCGGCTTTTTAAAACTTGATTGTTCACCCCAAAATATTTTCTACACTTCAGTCCACCATCTTTTCTACACTTTAGTTCTTGTCAAAATCCAATCAACAATTTACAAACTTTTTTACACTTTAGTTCTCGTGGATTTACTCGTCAAAATCCAATCAACAATTATATTAATAACAAATTTAGTATAGTAGCAATGTAATGTAACAAAAAAAGATTAAAGCTATAATTTAAAACAGATAACACAAATTATGGAGGAATTGTGTCATGCAAATCTGATTGCTTACTTAAATTAATCATGTGTTTATCAGATGGAATTCGAAATTGGCATCTAGATTGAATTCATTTGATTAAAACTCCTCATCAATTGGCCTCTATTTCCGTTTAAAGCCTTGCAAAAATGGTGACTAAAATCTAATGTATTTATTTAAATGAAGTTCATCAATCAAAATAATCTTGGAGAATAAATTCGGTGTACTCGATCTTCTTACTTAATTATATCAATTCAGGACTTGATTGAAGAAACTTAATGGATCTCGTATTCTCTATATAACATTTCTAATTTCGAATGAGATCTTCAAAAATTAATTATCATCGCAAACGAAAAAATAAGAGGAAATCAAAGATTGTTATTATGAAGAAAAATTTGATCGATACTTGATTTAGTTAGAGGCAAGCGGTTTTGCAACGCCTAGGGTCAGGCCAATCCTAGGTTCCAAGAACCTTACATGCTAATTTTAGCTTCTTGTCCGGATCAACGAGATCATTATTCTATTCTTGATTGCCTTCTTCTGATTGTTGTTGTTCTGGTTCTTGACAACAAGGACGTCAACGATAACCACCTGAAGATGGATTGGAAGTGAATCATCGGTAGAATGCGACGCCTTTTGCAAAGTAGAGGCCATCACAAGAGATTAGTAACCAAATCCATCGTAATAATTCTAGATGAAAACGACGAATTTTAGGGCAACGATCGATAGTGAGGTTTTGAGAGAAGAGGGTGGGTGAGAACGATCGAGGGTTTAGGGAGAATAAATCGATAGTGGTTTGTAGAGTGAGAAAGCAAATTAATTTGTAATTAATTTTAATGTGTTGAATTTTAATACCGTGTTTACCTTTATGGTGCATTGATAAAAACCTAAAATGTCATTAAATTCACTCTTATTTACAATAAATGTCATAATTCAATACAACATTCTACTTTTAGTTCTCAAATTCTGAGGAAATCATAAATTCTCAAATGCTCCTTCCTATACACACACAAGGTTATAACTCGTGCTATCTACGGTTAAAATAACATTTAGAATATAATAATAATATCCATGAATTATAGATTTGAATAATTTTTATAAAGAGTTTGATGTGTTAATCCTAACGAAATCGGTGACATAATTTTAGGGATTAAATGTGTTTCAATTATGTTTGATTAGAATTATTTTTGGTGTAAGATAAGGTAATTAAAAATAGAATTCATGAATGGATATTATAATGACACGTGATAAACAATAAATACGAATGCATATTAAACCGACACGTGCCAACCTAAAACTATTATTTTATTAACATAGTAGCTTATAGCCCATGGGAATCATAGTTATAGATTTAATTAAATTTTTATAGCAAAAAATCATAATTGTTAATCAATTATTTTCAAAAAAATCTTAATTAAACATGATATAGTAGGAAATACAATTAATTATCAGCAATAATAACCAAAACTTATTATTCACAAAATTTTTTATTTAAAAAATAAAAAAATATGAGAAAATATAGATTATAAACAACTATCATTTTTATTGAGAATTTGAAAGAAAATATAAATTATGAAAAAATGACAAGTGTCACTACAAACTATTCTTTTATTACTTTAGTAATATATATATATATATATATATATATATATATATATATATATATATATATATATATATATATATATATATCAAGATCAAATAAGAAGGAAATTTTTGGTAGGAAGGTAAGAAGTTTTTTTTCTACATATTTTTTTCGCGAACAAACAAAATAAATCATTAGATGATTCATTTGTAAGATGATTCACAAGAAAATATTTTCAAAAATAAATCATTAGATGATTCATTTGTAATATAATAAAATATTAAAATACTAACCGAACAACCAAGTGCGACGTACAAAAACTCAAAGCAATCATCACCATCTGTTTTAATATGTGTCGCCGTACCCAGATTATGTTTGACCAAATTGTGGAAATAAGCCGGAAGTTTGGTAAAAGATTCCTCTTTCGTACCCCTTAACAACAATAATGCATATTGCTTCGCAGGCCATGCCTATGGTATGAGATATTGATATTCAATTGAGCATTCATATCATTAATAATATCTTTTTCCCAATAAACACTACTATAATCTTCAGTCAAAACATCAGCAAGATATTCACCCAAAACATATTTATTTGCTTGTTGATGATTAGGTTGCAAAATTGTTGAAGAACATGTGTGTACATCAACAAGTTTATTCGTTTGGAAAAGTTCATCAAAATTTTAATTGCTTTTGCTCTTAGTAACAAAGAACAATTTTTCGAAACACACACAACCTCATACCTTGATTTGGTGGATCTACTTGTCCTCGTCTGAAAACCTTCTCGAAGACTTTTTTTTTTTTTTTTTTTTTTTTTTTTTTTATCAATAGTCCGCTTTAAAAGTTCTTTGTTCTTAAATATACTCTCACATTTAATCTTTTGAAGTTTGATGTCTACCATGTGTTTTGGGATATCTTCATTAATATCAACTGGACATGTTGGTAGAGGGGGCATACCGTAAAAAAGGTTAGCGGAAAACTTAGCTTTAACTTCATTACCCAACTCATCTCCATCTGAATTGCTTTCTAAGTAGGTTATATCTAAAGGTATATCAACAACATCAACATAATCCTCGTAGACATGCTTTTTTTCATCTTTTTGACGCATAAATGTTTTCTTTTTACTTTTATCTATTACACGCCTATTCATAACTTTAACTTCTTGTTCAGGAACATCAACAGAACGACCACCCATGTCATTAAGATCTGTACCAATATCATCATCACCAACATACTTGTAATTCTCAGGATCCACATAGTGAATATGTGAATAAGTAAGATTAACATTTTCAACAACGCTATGAAATTGAGGTGCACTAGGAGTATTGAAAGTACCTATCGGATCGTTGCTTCCTTTATAGCTGCATAAATTACCAACCGGCTGATTTCCACTCTGACCAGCCTCATTAACATCATCTCCTTCATCAACTACTACAAACACTTTTACAGCCCTTCCTCCACTACATTTGATTACATTTATCAACATTCTAACATCCATGTCTTCAATTATGGCTATATGATAATTCAATTCAGGATGATGGAAATAAAGACTAATTTTATATTTGTCTAACAAACCAAATTTGCTTCTCACCAAAGATACAAAATCAATATAACTAATATACTCAGAAAACATTAAAACGAATTCAGAAATACCTCATTGTGGACATACGTATTCCAGATTTGTTTCAATAACTTGTCATCTCCTACCAATTACAAGACAAACCAAATATTCAATAATTTTTTTAGTGAGATTTTAAAGAAATTTCCTAAAGAAATAACAAGTAAACTGATAATTTTTTATAAAAGTTTATATATAATAAAGTTATTTTGTAGTCAAACTCATTGATTTTATATTTAAAAAAAAACATAAAATCGCACATCAAAGAGAAAGGAAAATCGTAGATCGATGCAGTCCATCTGCGATTTTAGCGTGGTAAACCCTATATATATACAAAAAAAAAAAAAAAAAAAAAACCTGCGAATGTATGAATAGCTAAAGCTCTTCTATGTTTTAACCACTTGTATATTTGCAGATTGGATGTGAAAATCGCAGATGGACCATTTCTATCTGCGATTTCGATGACCAAATTTGCAATTTCAATTTTATTTTTTTGGCTATTTTCCACAAAATAACTAGTATATTTGTCATTTTCTCATAAAAAATAATAATTTAATAGATCTTAATTAATTTAAAATTGCTTCAAAGGCTACAACCAACACTAAACTAGCAATAAGAGTTACTAGTAGCATTCTATAAAATCCTTAAACTATGACACTAGGAAAAAATATATAATTATTTTTAAGGAGAAAGAATGTCTGTTTAAAATCAATTAGTCAAATTTCTTCAGAAACCGCGTCTTTGGCCGACAAAAATCCGTCACTAAAAGCAAAATCAAATAAATGCTCTACAATTTATTTTAAAATATAATCCACAGACCACAGTCTCTTTTTGCCACACGCTTATTATACCAGCTGTTTTAAGGTCAAAAGCTACTCACCGACCTAACTTCACTAAACTGGTACTGATACTCTCACTTTCGTCATCACCTTCCTTTAATCTCCAAACACCAATCCTATAAATCCGACACAATTCATGCCTTTATCTTCATCTTACTAACAACACCTTCCTCTGCATAAAATGGCGTTTTCTACAACCTCAAAGCTTTCGACTTTCTTCCTAGTCATCTTATTTCTAGGGATCACTTCAATAGTCTCCGCGGATTTCAACAATGAGTTTGATATCACTTGGGGTGATGGACGTGGTAAAATACTCAACGGAGACCTCTTAACGCTCTCCCTCGACAAATCATCTGGTTCTGGCTTTGAATCAAGAAACGAGTACCTGTTTGGCAAGATTGATATGCAGCTGAAGCTGGTTCCTGGTAACTCCGCCGGCACTGTCACCGCCTACTACGTACGTTTCTTGCTATCCGCTGCATTATTTGGATTTTGTAAACTGGAATATAGTTTGTAATACTGAATATGAATGTTATGATTATATTTGCAGTTGTCTTCAAAAGGGTCGAACTGGGATGAGATCGACTTTGAGTTCTTGGGTAACTTGAGTGGTGATCCTTACATTCTCCATACAAATGTGTTCAGCCAAGGTAAAGGCAATAGAGAACAACAATTCTACCTGTGGTTCGACCCAACTGCTGATTTCCACACCTATTCCATCCTTTGGAACCCTCAACGCATTATGTAAGTATCATCATGTGTTTATAGTGTTCTTACATGCAATATATCCCATCGTGCTTTTACTGATCTTAACATTGTCGATTTTCAGATTTTCTGTTGATGGAACACCCATTAGAGAATTCAAGAATGCGGAATCGATTGGGGTACCATTTCCTAAAAATCAGCCCATGAGAATACACTCTAGCTTATGGAATGCTGACGATTGGGCGACCAGGGGTGGGTTGGTGAAAACCGATTGGACTCAAGCTCCCTTTACGGCTTCCTACAGAAACTTTAGGGCCGATGCTTGTGTGGTGTCTTCTGGGAAATCGTCATGCGGTGGCTCTGCATCTTCCGGTGGCAATCAGGCATGGCTATCCGAGGAGTTGGATAACACAAAGCAGGAGAGGCTAAGATGGGCTCAGAAGAATTACATGATTTACAATTACTGCTCAGATTCCAAAAGATTTCCTCAAGGGTTTCCCCCAGAATGCAAATTGGCATAAGGAGTATTTTTTTTTTATCTGCTGTTCTATATTGCATTGGATCTCCATATGTATTTAATTAGTTTTGGTTGAGTTATGAAATTCAATTATATATTCATATTCATTTTAGCTATTAATCAATTAATAAAGAAGAGACTTTCGCATATTTTTATTTTTAATGGTTAGCTTTGCCCTTTTGTTGATTACGTATCACATGTAAATGGCCTGAACTATGCTTTTGGTTCATATGTTCATAATTAGTGGCTAGCATTACCATTGGAATCGAGAGGTTTCCGCCAAACAGCCATGAGAGGGTCGGGACTCGGGAGGCTTCGGTTTGGGTGAAGGAGATTTGGGTGGCAAAGTAGTAGCGGTGTTATAAGTATGAACAAGGATTTTAAAATAAACGAGGCTTAATTACATGCAACGACGCAATCTTATAATCTAAAATCTATCTAATATATTGAATTACCGTAAACGTAGTTTATTCAAAATTTGATTTTCTTACAACACATTTACGTATTTTTTGTTTATATTATTATGTATTATCATAAAAAATCATCATTGTTTGACAATTATACTCATAAAAATATAAAAATTCAAATATGTGATGATAATTAAAGACGTCATAATAAAATACATGTACATTATCAATAAAATTAGAATGTGAATCACAAAAGAAATTAATAACAACAGAAATGGGTAATGTCACTAAGAATCTTAAAATTTTAATGTTTTAACTTAGATTGCTCCTCACGCTTATTTGGCTTTATAAAGTAACAAACTAGAATTTTTGGGTAAAATGGTTATTCTAAAAAAGTGAAGAGGTAATCAAGTTACCCTTTGCCACCTATAAAGTCGAGTATATAAGACTCAGTTTAGTGGCTTGGCGTGTACGTCAACATTTGCTCAGCATGCACGACGTACACCACCCCTCATTGCAGGTATGTCGAACTTGGGAGGTTTCTACGACATTCAATTGCCGATGAGAGAGAGAGTAAAGCTAGAGGGTCCAATGAGTATTTTCGTGATTTCTTTTTTCAACTTTATATAGTATAAATAAAACATAAATCCATCATGTTTTACAGCACAACTATAATATCCAGACTCCCGTGTATATTATTTATCTATTAGTTTTTTAAACATATTGAGCAACTCGACGAGTTGGTGCCTCAACTCGTCAAGTAGAGACTGATTGACCACGTGGGTCAAATAATCGACTCGACGAGTCAGAGAGTCGACTCGCCGAGTTGGCGCTGTGAGATGAAACACTAAATCCTCGGGGTTGGGGCCTATCTAAGAGCACTTTTGACCTCATTTGCGTCTCACCAGCTTCCCAACTTCCCTCTATAAAACCCTAAACATGTGTAGTGAGCTAAGAGAGTTCTAAGGCTAATCTTTGAGTATTCTAGTGCATTTTTTAGGAGAATGAGGAGATTATCCAGCAAGGAATGAGGAGAAACTATTGGAATCAGTGCTATACTGTCCAAAGCTTCCATGGAAGGTAAAAAGCCTACACCTTTCTCATCTTAATGGTTAGATCTCATGATTATGGAAGTTTAGGGTTCTTACCACCTTTTTATTAGGACATTGAGTGCATTGAGTCTATTAGGAGATCTAGACTTCAGATTGAGACCTTATGAGGTCCATAGAGTCCAAAGGTCCCACCTTTATTCAGCCATATAAGAGTTATTGACCTTAAACATATTTATTAGAGTTGTAATGGCATTTTGGTGCAAAATATACCATGCATGAATTTAAATATCAATGCTATACGTGACATTCGAGCCTTGGGAGCCTAGATCTAGAGTGTGGAGTGGTAGATCTGCCTTAAAATGTCTGAATGAGAATTTAGACTGAAGACACTCGCCGAGTCAACGAGCTGACTCGACGAGTCGGCTAGGGTTTTCCCCGATGGGTCTGGACATAGGTAACTCGACGAGTTGAAGAGACAACTTGATGAGTTGAGTTGGGTTTTCGCGATGTTCTGAAGAAACAAGGGGGACTTGGTGAGTCACATAGATGCACTCTACGAGTCAAGTCAACATGAACAGTTGACTCGAGTGGTGACTTCTGTTGACTTTAGGGTTTGGTTAAGGAAGGGAGAAGGGGAACCATAGAGGGGCAAAATGGTCTTTTACCCATTCTAAGAGTTTGAGAGAGACAACAACCTAGTTTATTTCGAGTCGTGATTTAAGTGTTAATTAGAGATCATGATCTTATTGTTGGATTAATGTCTAAGTCCATAACTATAATTGGTAAGACTTGACCCGACCCGGCATGGTCCATTTGGGTTGCATACCATCATGCACTTGGATAGACTAAATGAGAGAAATAAGACACTTATGGTTATTAATATATTATAAGTTCTAGTATATTAATAATAAGAATAATGAGATTATTTAATTAGTATTGATCAAGAATTAATCTAGCATTAATTGAGTGATCAAAAGAAGACTAATTAAATATATGGGTTGATTGTGTAAATCATCCATACTTGTATAGTGGGCTAATGCTCCATGGATTATCTAGTTGGGCCAAAACCCATATGATGCTCCATGGATGCTCCATGGTGTATTTGAACCCATGGATCCAAGGAAATGGAAAGTCATGACAATTAGGGTTTACCCTAATTGTATAACTATATAAGCATCTTATTCTTGAGGAAAAAAATCGGCCACTAGTATTAGTAAGAAAGGGCTAGCCGACTTTCATGAAGTGTAGAATTCTCTCTAAGTTATTCTAAGTGTTTTGATGATTGTGAACTATTTGAGGTGTCACACTTGGGGCACTAGGCACTCAAGCTTCATGAAGACAAGCACCATCAAAGAGGTATGTATTCTATCTTGTTATATTGATAGTTTTGTATGCTAGTTTAGAATAATACCTTGGATATTCATATTTGCATGTATAATAGAGAAAACATAGATCCAAGGTATTTAGGGTTGCATGTACACTTAGGAGTGTTAGAATGCTCATAACCCAACAGTGGTATCAGAGCCTAGGCTTGTTTTCTTGTTATACCTGCAATAAAAGCTGAAAAATCGAGTTTTGATGCTGTCAGCCCAGCAGACTCGCCGAGTCCATGAAGGGACTCGACGAGTCTAAGGCAAAATGCATCCAACTCGCCGAGTTATGTTCATGCACTCGACGAGTTGGACCCCAGACAGCATATCTTCGAGGTTTTTGGCTGGAATTGGACTAGGAACATTACCCTAAGATGTTTTTGAACTTATAAACTTGTTTTTTGATGTGGTAATGTTCATGCTAATCCATTTTCAAAGATAGTTGTCAATAGATTCATGTTTTGTATTAGTTTAAAGGTTAGACTAATTACATGAAAAAGATTGATTTGAATTATCTTGTTCTTATGAGTTTCTTAGATTAATAGAAAAATTGAATGAAATAGTTGTTTTCAATCCATTTTAATCTAAGAGTTGAGTATAAAATGTGTTTGTGTAACTTATTCTCAAGTTACATGAAGAGTCACATTCAAGACTCATAAAACTCATAAAGTTGGCAAAGGTTACAAAAATGAAGAGTCTAGTTCTAATTAATTGGAGTTATGACTCCATAATTTGTCCTCAAGTTATGGAGGACCAAGAGTCTCTTCATTAAATAAATAACAAAAAAAAATAAAATAATGTAACCTTAATTAATTCCATAAGTGTAACAGCCCGGAATTTCAGGTATTGTTTTAAAACTATTTTTGGGACATTTTAGGAGGGGACTCGGCGAGTTGGTGCCTGACTCGCCGAGTAGGACCACAGGCTTGGTCGCGGGTTCGCGACTGGACTCGGCGAGTCCAGATATGGACTCGGCGAGTCGACGCTGTTCAGCAGAAACCCTAGCCGTCTGGTTTGGATCGTATATAACGCCTCTTAGGCCGTCATTGTTCGTTTTTGCTTACTGAGAAGAACCCTAGAACGATTGTGTGCATCTGGAGCAAGGATTGAAGACCATTGTTGGGTTTGGAAGAGTTGTGTGCAAGGAAGAGGAAGGTTTAGCTAAAGGAACAGCAAGAGAATCACGTTCTGAGGATTGGGGACACAGAAAGTGCATCAATCAGGTAATATCTCGGATTTCGTTCTTCTATGATTGATGTATATATGAAGTTAGGGTTTATAGAACCCATTTGATGATTAGATGGATTATTATGTTGTTACCCAAGTGTTTATACCCCAGTAATAGGATGTTTAGAGGTCCAGATAGTCCCATGAGTGTGTATTTCGGGACCATACGTGTTTCAGGAAGCAGTTAATCGACTGCATGGCATGGACTCGCCGAGTCGGATGAGCAGACTCGGCGAGTAGCTTGAAGATTCACTGGGACTCGCCGAGTTGTTCTTCAGACTTGGCGAGTGGAGTCGGGGTGGCCCCGCGATTCTTCCACGAGGACCTCGTCGAGTCAAGAGGGATACTCGACGAGTAGAAAGGGGAACAACAGGGAAAATTGGGGAGGACGTCTAGACTCGCTGAGTCGCCTTTGCACTCGACGAGTCCGGTCAAGTTGACCGTTGACCAGAGGTGACCTGCATGTAAATTCTTAGGGTCAGTTGTCTTGAATGATAAGAGTATTAATAAGGGGTATATGGTATTATAGAAAGTCTGCAGATCGGCGGATCGAGTGCGAGTAGTTTCAAGAGTTGATAGCTTACATTACCGCGAGGTGAGTCTTCTCACTATACTGTACCCGGAAGGGTATCTATGTGTGACCGGAAGGTCGAATATGTTATGTGTTATATATATGCTAAAATTGAAAAGGTAGTTGCTATGCATGCTATGTATGTTCTATGGGCCGGAAGGAAAAGTATTATGTTACAGAAAGGTCAGGTATGATATATGATATATGTGCTATATGTGTTTAAGTAATTGTACTATGTGTTGCATATGTTTATGGGCCGGAAGGCAATATGTTACGGGCCGGAAGGCAATATGTTACGGGTCGGAAGGCAATATGTTACAGGCCGGAAGGCAATATGTTACAGGCCGGAAGGCAAAATATTATGGGCCGGAAGGCGATTATCTCATGGGCCGGAAGGCGTTGTACTGTGGACCGTAAGGTTCGGGCCTGGAAAGGCGTATATGTGTTGTGGTATACTGGGGAACTCACTAAGCATTTATGCTTACAAGTTGTTATGTATGTGTTTCAGGTACTAGCGAGGACCGTGGGAAGACGCCGGCATGATGCATACACACTGC